TTCGACTATCCCAGTTGGGTTTTCTGCGATGGGTCCTTTTGGACGGTCAGTAGCCACCTCTCTTGGACGGTCGCACCGCTTCACCAGCGACTCTTCACCAAATCACACGGAAAACGAACAGCGAACGTCCGACCACCGACCAAAACGGTGCCGTTCGCGCACCCCTGGGTGCCGTTGGTCTAATATATAATTCTTAAAATGCGCGTTCGAACCATAACAGCATTATGTTCGAACCATAAAAAGCAACGCGTGCCAGGAAAAGCGAGGCTGCTGTGTGAAGGCAACAAAAGCCGGTACCAGGCGAGCGATGATTTTCATCCAGCATACCAGCCTGTACAACTTACAACTCCTGGTTGTCTTCAACCTGTCCTGGAATACTAGAGTCTCAAAGTACCTTTGAAGAACAACGGCCATGACATGTCTACCAACAATTGCTAGGTGATGCTAGGTGTGTGATCAGCAACTATAGAAACTCCTGACCACTTCCAAGAGTACCCTGAGGCTCCAGGTAGGCAAAGATATAAGTATTGTGAGGCACACTCACTGTGCAGCGCTATTTTGCAGCGCATCACCTCTTAAAAACTGCCAAACGTGTCTTGTAGGGACACCTTCTAGTTTAGCTCAAACACTTGGTGATTGGTGGTGTCCAAAACTCTCGACTGAAGTGGTGGTGGGCGGAATCTTTCCTGAAACCAAGGCATATCAATGCAGTGACACATTGCAGTGACACAGCTTGACGTTTTACGTTGACGTTGACGTTCAACGAAAACGGACAGCTGGACGCCTGAGGCTTCACTGAGGAGTGACCAACACATCGGTGTGAAGGTCAACGCCCGACGTCTGACAGGAAGGCTTCACCATGAGGGACGGTCCATGGGCAGGTACCAGTTGCTTCTGTACTACCACATACCTGGTCCCGCATAAGTACCTTAGAAAATGGACCCTGTGACATAACCCAATTTAAAAAATAAATAAATAATGATAACAGAAAACAGGCACTTGTACTCAGTTTGTGTGTATATATATATATATATATACGCTAGCACACCTGCCACATATATTTGCACTTTCTATCGTTGGTATGTCGCTGCAACCGGAGTTCCTGGCAAGACAAATATGCTGTTCCATGTTCGTAGAACACCCCCAAACAATGAAGGGGCTGCAGTGGCTGAAGCACCTACTGGACTGATTGGGCCTTAATCGCGTCTATTTGGACCAAAAAAACACACAAACAAAAAGGGTCTTTTCCTATCAACACAGGGATACAGGGGGTCATGTCAGGGCTCTAGATCTGTAAATCCAGAAATGGGTTCCTTTCCCAACGCCTTGCTGAGGAAATGCAATCACTAAACAGCGCCAGAGATTGCTGGGGTATGCCTCTGCTTTGATATAGGGAAGAAGCTTTTGAGGCCCGAGAAAGTCCAATTCTCTCAACTGTTTTCTTCTGACGAACGGGCATGCAAGACACAGCCATATAGATACTGTACCTGAACGAGCCAATAGCCACTTTACAAAGCTCCTATACAAAGCTCTTCTGGCTTCGGCTTCCTGCGCCTAGACAAGCAGGAAGAACTTGAGAATGCTGAAGATCACCAAGTCATGCACGACAAGTGGCTAAAGTCTGTGCTCAGAATGGCCCAAAAAGGTGCTTTCTGAGCGCTACCTCTCGCCGTCTCTGCACAGCGGGAAAAACCAACCTCCGATCTACCAAGCTCCGATCGCTTCAGCGAATATCAACGTATACTCAATCTCTAACAGTCAAAACCGGGGACCGACCGGTTGACCAAATCAGCGCAAGCTGAACTCACGTGCGACCCGTTGTATTGGCAGGGTTGGGGCGAAAAGCCCTTCTTCTCTTCCGATGAACTCTTTCCCACTTTAATGTCCTTTGTGTGCCTTTGGATCAAAGAGTCCAGGGTAGGGTGATAGTGCAGGGGGACGCGCTCCGCCTGCGAGTGAACAGAATAGACAACTGGGGAGGTCAGCCTACTAGGGTTTAGGGCTCCGGGTTTTGACCCACAGCCACATGGACCATTGGCTAACTAACATGTGGAGTCGACCTGTGAGTACAAGTATCAAAAATATGTATCAAGCACTGTCTTTTTCTGTATACAGAGTCATGTCCAATTTTCCAAGGTACTTTAGAGTGTCCAGGCAAATTGACCATTGGCCGATATATATATATATATAACTCTGCCTGAAACAGGGAACCCCGCAAGAGCCTGTGGGGTCATCTGCCAGGTCGTTCACTTTCTCTTTGAATTGACCAGGATGTTCAAGGAGAGCTTCTCACCATTCCATACCCTTTCTTCAGCCACGGATGTGCTGCTGTTAAAATTGGATGAAAGAAGCTGCTTCATGAAAGCCATGTGTGCAAACTCCTTACCTGCCTCTTCTTGAAACCCCCAGCCGATGATCACCTGAAATTGGTGAGATATCTCATGGATTCTCATCTCATTCATGGCATTTCCAAAGCCATTCTCGCAAGGACATGGGTCAAGACCTTGTGAACATTTGCAGTTCATTGTCCAGTTGGAGAAATCCTGCACCACATGAGATAGCGGTAGCAGCTTTGCGAGTTGAGAGAAGCGTACCAACATTGACTCCAGCAAATGACATTAGCTGCTGCTACCTGTGAAGGTAACTGTATATTATGTATAATATAAACACCTAGTGAAAAAGATCCGGTCTCCAAGATGAAAGATGGTTTCAGATCTTAGTTTGAACACCATTTTCCAAGATGTACCAAGTGGTTAGGACTGGGGAAACATCCACTTGTTTCTGGTTGGGAGTGGGTTTCCAGACTGGTATTAGGTATCTCAGCGATCTGCAAACATCTTCATCTTAACCCCTGTCCAAACAAGCCCCCCCCCCGAATTGCAAGTTAAGTTAAGGAATCCAATGCCCTGGCGATCTAGATAGATTGCTTGGAGCTTATATGAGTTGATAATATACATCATCAGGTGTTCACCAGGCTTTTACCTCTATATCATCAGTCGAGAAGGCCTCATCCAGCCCTGACTTTAGGTGCAACACAGTACGACTCTTGGTCTTGAACCACGCCTCCTTGCGCTTCAAAACTTGCAAGGCTTCACTGTGCCGAACCTATGTCACAGTTGCAACACAGTGTCCTGAGCGCCGGTCGCGCAAAGGACCCAGAAGGGAGCCATCTAAGAAGAAGATGAGTTGAACCAGACTGCTAGCATGTATACCCCTAAAAATACACACAAAGTCGATGTTTCAACATGTTGATACACAATTGTTGAATTTTATAGCCCACAAATGCCCATAGAGCCATAGAGTACACAAATAAATCAATGATATTCTGATACCACCACAGCAAGACCGAAAGAAAAACCTTCCACGACCCTTCACCATGCAGTCACATTCTTCACAGGTTTTCCTCAAGAAGGGTTTTCCCTCGGTGGAATCACATCAACCTGTGACCAACCCAGTACAACCTGGTGAATCCAAGGAAAGAAAAAAAACTGTGAGGCCTGATCCAGCAAGTCTGTTCAATGGTGTCCTTTTGGTAAAAGAGAGAGGGAAAACAATTCCAGGTACCATTATCATACGTCTGAGGGGGTATTCATCTGGGGGTATCTATTAATAAACCAACCGTTAGGCCATACAACAAAACCATCTATGAGCCGCTCATGGTTTTTGTTGGGGTCGACTCTATCTGGATTGAAGAACAACACAGGGAACCGTGGATAGCATGGGTCTGCCCCAGCTGGATCGACCCCGCTGGATGAATGGGGCTCAGAATCTGGAAACTGGGCGTCCAATGGAGGTCCAGTCTAGCAGTGTAGAGTAGTCTATTGGGCACTCAAACAGGATGACCCAGGTATGTCTATCTGTGTTTTTCTCTTTCCAAAAGATTCCCCCAGTGCGGCACCAAAAGAAAACATCACTCAGGTACCGGGGAGCCACTGCCAAGTACCTCTGTTGCGACCTCTCACTGCTAGATAAAAGTGTTGAACATATCACCCTCTCAAAGATATGTAGACATACACATACAAAAGGAGGTTTGTCAAAGGGTAGGAAGTGCACACCAAGTTGGGGTCCCACTGCGCCGCTCATTGTGGGGTCCAAGGAGTGCCGTGCGAACTATGCAGGACCACCACTGTGACCACATTGCATGATCAGAACGCAAGCAAGTACCTGGACCCTTAGAACGACATGACATCATAAGAAAAAGGAAAAAGAACAGGTACGTATGACTGGGGCCCCATTGAACCCGAGGTACGTCCCAGCACGTACAACCGCCCGAGCGAATCGAATATGGGACTAATCCATCCCAAACCATCCATGGGACTCAAATAGTTACCTACATTGGGATCGTTTTCATGGCAGTCATATGGATGGTCTGGGCACATCTGTTCACCGATTCCTGGGTTGCTTTACTGTCTTTTTGGCCTTTTTAAGATGTTTCGCTATGCCTTTTTCAGATGTCAGCAAGCTTGCATGCATGCTGTTCAGGCAGGACACGAGGTACACAAGGTCCAACAATCTATGCAAGACTATACAACAATAATATTCATATTAAGAGCGTCCGGATGCTTCTAGATACAGGAGAGAGACTTCAACTGTCGGCATGATGACAACAAAAGATTACTTATACAAGCATGAGTACTGTTTATTGTGGGATTAGCATATATTAGAATGGATTTGATATTTTATAGTTTGGATATTCTTATTGTTCAAGGACCAGGACCAATTGAGATGTCTCAAAGCTTGTATACTGACCTGTTGCACTTTTTCACATCACCAGGGTCTACTTTTTCTTGACTCCGTGGAGTTGAGCATGACATCTCAACAACTGATTTACCAGAAAGCTCCTCTCACTGGAGCACAAGAAACCACCTTGACCCTCACATCTGACCTTTGGAATTGAAGATGTCATGAAACCTCAAAAAACACATCACATAATAATGTAATTGCTCATAGCATTCTCTTTGATCCAAACAGCTCTTGAATCCCTTCTCGGAGCAAGACACTCATTCCAAGTCAGCCCCACACGAGCTGACGACTGTCGTCACCTGTCGCGACGCACGACCACGTCTCGACGAGGGTTCCGAAGAGCGTCCCCAACGTGGTTTTGGGGGTCCATGGTGGTCCTCTGGAGAATCACTCGATGCTACGAGCCAACTGAAGACCCAACCGAGCTGTTCGGGTCAGACTGTTCAGGGATGGTTGAAGTTGAATGCCCTGCAACATGACATTCTGCACATGATTGGTGATGTTTGGGTTTGTTGGGAGGGTACTGCAATGTGCTACATGTCTTTTGATCAGTTAAGGTAGTTGTATCCTCAAGTGTTTATTTATGGTCTGCCAAACACGCTTTGTATCAAACACTTCTCCACTGGACTGGTCGGGAAGACCAATGTTGCGAGACGGTGTCTCAAACGTATATCATATCTGATAGCATCTAAGGGACTGGATTCAAGAATGGTGTAGTTATAGGATTCATCCCATCACTTTCTTCAGGAACTAAAATATAATATATAATTGTTAAAAACAAAAAAACTTGTCTATAGGTCTTTTTGTTGATCTGCACATATATATATATGATATTACAATAATTTAATTACTATAGACTATATATATTACTATGTAACACAGCTCAAAAAGGGTACAATAACACAAAAACATTCCCAGTGCGCCAGGTGACACTGCCACTCCTCTGCTCTCGAGTACCATCGATCAGGCGCTGAAATTGCTCCTTGACCACCTCCTGGCAACGACCGGCGAAGGCGTCCGGCGTCCCGGCCATGGCCGGGTCACATCGCGTTGAAGCGCTTCAGAACAACCAATTGATACCTGGAGACCTGGAATGAACATACACCTGGAGACTCGCATGGCGATCTTTCCGGTGTTAGCTTTAAGGTATAAAACTCATGTAATTGAATCGGTTTGATAGCACAAAGCCATGCCCCTGGGTGGTTGGTACTCCCAAGAGATGTGCCAATCATGTCATGTTTTCGGATTTTCTCTTGGTAACTCACTTCCAGTAGAGCACCATCCTTCGCAGGTGTTTCTTTGCTTGCTTATGCTCAAACGCACCTGGAGTCGACCTGTTGGTACCTTGGACAATGAGTGTAGTCGTACCCTGTTTTTGCTTCGGGTCCTGTCCGTTCAGTACCCACCGAGATCCTCCAACCCATCGCCCGAACGACCCGGTCGCCACGGTCCGGCGACAATGCGAAGAAGACCGAGTGGCTCCGATCCATTTGACCATGACCCGGGTGACATGATTGTTCACGTAGGAGAAGTCCGGAGTGCTGGCCTCATCGTGACTTAAGCTACTAATGGCTAAGGGCATCGCTACTAGTAACAAGAAGCTACTAGTAGCAAGGTGCATCGCTACTAGTAGCTAAGGGCATCGCTACTAGTAACAAGAAGCTACTATTAGCAAGGTGCATCGCTACGAGTAGCAAGGGCACTACTAGTAGCCCAGGGCATCGCTACTACTAGAAAGAAACTATCTAGTAGCTATAGCTACGGGCAACGCTACTAGGAACAAGAAGAATGAGCCCCCAATAGAGATTGTATTGGATCCATTCCCTCATTCCCCTGCTAAACACCAGTCAGATTAGCTGGGAAGGGGATGCCAGTTGGCCCGGGAGTGCCATGCAGCTCTACCTGGAGCCTCAAAGTACCTCGGAAAATGAGTACAGTCGTATCTGTTCTTAAATAAGGCAATTTGGAACGTGCAGGTATGTAATTGTATGGCTAGAATTGTTGTTGTGGTTTGTGTCAACGAGACACCTTCAGAACATCGTCTGACCGCTTGTCCATTTCTGTTTTGAACAAGGCTTACAAGATCATTCGATTAAGATGATATATATATATATATATACACAAAAAAAAACAGGTTGAACGAACTGCTCTGAAAAGTGCACATCGATAGAAACCTCCCAAACGACGGTTTTGGCTTCGATCTCACCAGCCTCGGTCGGCGGGATCGACCAATGGGCCTGGATGACTCCCTTCACGGCAATCTCATCTTGAGGATCCCAAGCCTCACGGAAGCCGGCAATCGATCATCAAGGCATGAAAACCGTAGCTACCTTGAAAAAGCCTGTTTCGCACCATTCCGGTGGGTCCGAAAAAGGATCGAGTCAGGGATGTAGCTGGAGTTGCTATATAGATCGATCGATACCTGGACCCAGTCCGATCCGACTCGTACTGAAACGAAAAGGGAATCGATCCGAACCTGGCCCCAGGTCGACAGGTTCGACTCCAGGAACACCCAGCAACAAGTGGACTGAAGTTGACTCCGTCTCACGCCAAACGGAGTCTCGTTCATATCCAAATCCGAAAGGTCGTCTTCAGGCGAATCCGAAAGGTCGTATACTTGAAGCATATTGAATCGTATTGGAAAGTACAGGATGAAGGTACTGGTTCAAAGTGAAGCTCTTTCGCCTCAAAAAAAAGCTCCACGTTGCAAAAGAAAACAGGTTTCCATTGACCTCAGACCTCGCATCTTTCTCCATTTGTTCGGTTGTTTTTTTTAAACTTAATCTGTTCATCCATGTTCATCCCTAACAACAAAAACGGACAAACGCCGGTGTACTCGGTCTCTCCACCTTGGCGTGTTGCACATCGATGGAGCTCAGGGACTCGGTGATTTCCCGGATGCCTCGGCAGCTGGTGTTCTACAAGCACCCACCTCCCAACAGGTACGAACGAAACAAGATGAAACAAGTACGTCTGGGAGTCCGGTCCAAATGCTTGGATCTGGTGCTTTAATTGAAATCAGCAAAACGTTGTAAACCACTAGATTCAGGCTACAGTATTAAAGTGTGACTCAATGTTTTATAGGGTACTTGTAACCCAGTTGCTGAGGTACGAACGGGTCGACTTCAGGTTGATGCATGCTCTCATCTGGAGTTAACCTATGAGCTCGTACCTCCGAAAGTGAGTACAAGTACCATGCAAGTATACCTAAGTTATGTTGTTTGTCTAAGGATGTCTAAGGTACACGTCGTGTCCAGGTAGATCAACTGTTAAAGCAACTACTACATTATTTTTCTCCTTCATGCACCCACCCGTGCAAATGATTGAAAGAAGGTGCCGGTTGTTGAACTAAAAGACATGGTTGACCACAATGTGTCACATGCACACCCCTCTATTTCATCCATTTTTACGCTAACAGCCGATCCTCAAAAGGTATGACATGATGACATCCAGGAATTTGGTCCCCACCGTTGTGGTGGGGGTGAACAATGGCCAATACTTAGAATCAGAGCGATTGCCATGATCATTCCCCCATCCTTCCTCCCTCTTTCACCACACTTCTGCCACTTCACCAGCTTCAGCTGCAGCCAAAGGGGCCCAAGTCCCCACGTGAGATCTGCTCTTGCAAGGACTGGTTTGAGGACCTCCACTCCAGTCAAAGCCCATGACCGGGCTGATGCACCCCATCAGACCGGTAGGTGACCCTGAAATGCCCAGCGGGCCTATGAGAGGATTCCTGGTGGTGTAGTTGGTTCCTGGCCCACATGAGTTTATCTCCACCAAACCACTGCACTGCAACGAACTTATGGAACTTATGGAACCACCGAGAAGGCCGCTGATGTGTAAAAGATCGTTCTCCAATTCATGTCAATCCTATTTATCGTTGCATTATTGGGATTCGAGAGTGTATATATAAAATAATGTATTCTACTTTATGGTTCCTTCCTCCATGTTCTATTGTTAAATGGGTTATTCGTCCAGTTGCAAGAGTCGACTGGTGACAAGCCATCCTAGTTGCAGGCAATTGCTAATATCAGGTGACTGCTCTTCATAAAGAGCATCCAAACCAGATATTTCCCATGATTTCAAGTCAGGAACCTGCGCTTTTTGGATCCCGCGGGAGGCACTGCAGGCTGCTTGAAAACAGAAATGACCTCGAAAAGTCTAGAAACAAAACGAGGCAAGCAATCTTGGCCACAGCAGGGCTAGGATCTTGGAAGTGGCTGGATCTGCTTACCTCTAAGACTGAAACCAGGTCCTCAGGCAGTTGCTTTCTGGTCCATTCCTTTTTGCAAACTCTGTAGAGCTTCAGAGCAAATCCCTTAAAGAAATGCCCAGGCAAAAACAACAAGGAATAGTTTTCTGCCGGCCATTCAGCCAGGGCGCTCAGGCATGGCAAAGGTCACAGGGATGTCTAAGGACCGAGCCATAAACCTCGGACGAACCGAGGCTAATCGAACTGCGTCTTGAAATTGGCTTACCGAACTTGTTCCACCTGGTTGGAGTAGTTTTTTTCAGTGGGGTGGGTACCAATCACACCCTGTCTTGGTGTTTTGCATGTGATCCAACCAATAGATCGGTCCGAAGCGTCGTTGGGGAGAAACGATGGTCAGAGCCCAATGGTCAGGGAGCAAGCGGAGCAAGCAGGGCTAAGGTCCATGCTGCCTCTCTGCGGTTTGTTGGATCACTAGGGTCCAAACACGTGAAGCTTGTGTTGATCCAAACACAGAAGGGGTCCTCTCAGCAAACACAGGCAAACCCTTGCAAAGTCTGGACCTTCCAGTTCGTACCGTCTCCATGGAGCACGACAAGGTGCGCAAAAGACAGGGTACGACTCATGTTCGGAGCTACGAACTCACAGGTCGACGCCAAACACTGAAGTGGCCCCAGTTCGAAGATTGGGCAGGCACATACCGCCTGCCATGGGCATTCTGGATCCGGGAAGCTGCTCATAGATGGTCCACACACGTCCCAGGTAGACCGGGTTCTTCCTGAGATAGAGTGCCAGTCGCGTGGTAATCTACCACTTAGGCTGACATTTTTCACGCTAGCCGTTTTGAGGTTGACATCTGATGTCAGGGATGAAGAAGCGCTCCAAAAAGCGACAGGAAAGCCAACAAAACTTTAAACAGTGGTTCTGATAGGTCGACTTCAGTAAACATACTGTACAGCAATATATATAACTATATATATCTATAACAGTGAGTAGAAGAGATGTTCTGAGAGTTTTCCCACATACACGGATAGCACTTCGGATAGCACGGTGGAGATCTTGAAGGGTCTTTTGAGTCCTTTCGTTCGGTGGTCCTTCGCTTGTCCTTACATTGAATCTGTGCTCGTTCCAAATACGTTGGAACCCTGTTCCGTGATACAAAGGGACCAAGTGAGTCTATCGGGGGACCGCTGCAGCATAGATTGCCTATAGTATAGCACATGAATATATCATTTAATGCTCAATGAGACTGGCTGGGAGTGCTCCACGGACCAATCCTGCATCTGCACCGAAACATCCTAGACCTGCAGAACGCATCCGCAGAACATACAGTCAAAGTTGAGGACAAGTTGCAGCAGTAGAGGAAACATCAGGGGGGATTATGTTCCCATTTTCTGGGTGCAGGACCCAGCAGTCGAGGAAACATCAGGGGGAATTCTGTTCCCATTTTCTAGGTGACTGGGTGCAGTGGGACTCAGCAGTAGGGGAAGCAGCCCACCGATGGATTGATGCAGGGCGAGCTTCCAAGTGTCGAGGATGGCGACCATCTTCCCCACGCGGGTCCTGGGCGAAGAAAACCGTGCAGGTTTCGGCGCATGTTTGTTCTGTCGAGCTGTCGAGCTGGATAGAAATTGAGCGGAGGGTATATGTAGAAACTGAGTCTGTACTACTTGGATGCGACTTCAAGTACCTTACAATAAATGGGCTATGGCATGACCCTATTAAAACAAGGTACTTGATGGTACTTGTATCATTCTCCGAGGTACTTTGAGACTCCAAACATAGTGAATCCAAGTAAGAATATACACATCCAAATGATCCAAAACAATGGAATCTCAATGAATCTCATGTGAAGGGAGCCAGGACAGGGACCAAAACTCCACCCGTAGGAGTCCACTTGGTGCAGCTGAAGCCTCAGATTTTCATTGAAGACCACCCCCAAGTTCGAGCTGCCAGTCATGGAGCGTTCCACAATGATGCGGAACTGGTTGTTGACAAAGAAGCACATATAGAAGTACACATCCTACAAGAATGGCGCCCTGCTGGGTGTCAGCAACTGGGTGCTGTGACCTGCTGTGTAAGGAATGGTAAGGATGTTTCGCTGCCCGGCCTGAACATGAAGCTTTAGAAGCGCGATCACTCCCCCATTTCTGAGTAAACCAGAGTCTCAGTCCCCCAAAAAAGGCACGGAGCCCTTGTAGCTCTGGACTCTTTAGGTGTGGCATGCCGCTGGGGTGTGGCATGCTGCCATGGTGGCCGAAAGCTTGGCCGCCTCCAGCTCGGACGAAGTCTTCACCCTCCCCGAGCGGTAGGAACCCCCACCCACCCACCCAATGCGCACGGCAACA